ATTTTTCAGAAAAAAGCCTATACAAAAATCTGAATTCTAGTCATCAGCCATGAATCCCTGGCCATACTGCAGAGTTTTCTGATTTCTTCCTATGGCTTAGTATCCATACAACTGCCTTTGAAAAATGAAGAACGAAGGATCAGAAATAAAATTTTTGGACTGGAAGTGGTTTAACACGACTCTACTTCAAAGAAACGCAACCTGGGCGATTGGTCAATGGCAATTCCTTTGCTCGTGGTGAGGAACTACGTGTCGACTTCGACGCAGTGCGAATATTTTACAAATCATATGCGATAAGCAAATCATGCTTACGCGATGGTTCGAATACTTCTACCATAAAAAACCTTAATTTCTGCAAGAAAAATCTGCAACCTGTTGAAACGACATGGCAACCTTTAAAACTTCACCAAATTGCAGCGCAATAAAAGCCGGATATTTATATACATTCGGAGGTCAAAGATATCAGAGACTTCAAGACGGATGACAGTTCTATTAGTCTTGTAACAGAACTCTCATCGTGAGGACGGAACATTGTGCATTCACGTGATCGGTGAAAGCATAGGCATCAGTCGAATACAGAGCGCCACATCTGTGGCATCCTTTGCCGCAATGAGGCACGTTAAGAGAATTTTTTAGCCGTGAATGCCTATGCCAACGACGCCAAGGACCAGCTGAAACCCTGTCGCTGTGTAAATTTTGGATTTTTCCGCAACGCCAGCTCGGAAGTGATTATCGTATCACCTGCAAGGGGTGGAGTTTTCTGTTTTTCTGATATTTCACTAATTTTGTACGGTTTACTGAATTGTTTGCTGGGATAATTAATATGGCCACTTTTGACATGATTTTGATTCATCTCTCATTTCGCATTTATCGCCATTCAGGTATGTTTGCGGCGCTTTCTTATTTTATCAAAGTAAGCCGGAATCCAAAGTAACCGAAGCTATTAATACGAGAATGTTTAAAAAGACCACGGAGGGCGGTGAATCCAAAACTGGATAGCGAATTGCGCTAAAGAAGGGGCTAGTCAACATCATGTTTCCAACTATCGTTTGTCTTAATTACTGTTCCGTTACCAAAAAAATTTGATGAACTGAAATTTTGTTCTGGTCAAAACTTACTAAAATCGTGCGTAATTTCATGACACGGAGAAGGGCATAATAAAACAAGTGACGACCAATTTTCTGATATATGAGGATTTACAACATTCCGCTTAGCCTTAACAGCTACTCGTGGTGACGGCTTCGTTAAGCGGATCAACGCTGCCCGCTATACTAACATTCGAGTCATCTACTTCCAAATCCCTTAGGTAAATCAAGTTAACTGATATTTCTTGCAGAAAGAATTTATTCTTTTCCAGACAGCGTGTACATAATCCCAAACTATTTCTTAGGCATTTTAACAACACTTTTAGGCTGATAATCTACTGGCAGTGGCTCAACCATATGATACCGCCACTACTGCGCAGATCAAGAGTGTATATCGGTTTAGCCGACAGCGTGAAATACAAACTGAATTGTATTTTTATCAATGTAATTAAGAACAACCATGTATGACGAATTGTTTCTTTATATGACCCAAGTCATCGCATAATTTCTGACAATTAACATATTTTTCACACGCTGGTAATACTTCAC